CTTGAGTCCATGAAGATTTTCAATCTTCGGTCCATGATTTTCAATCTTGAGTCCATGAAGATTTTCAATCTTCGGTTTATGAAGATCTTCCTTCAATCGGCTTGTAGCTTTAAAATATTTTCAATATACATTTCAGCTACTTCGGAGTCTTGGTGTGTATATTAGACAGTTGATCCACAACACCGCATCGGTGACCTTCTGTCTTCACATCGGCTAGTCTTCGATTTTGCCAATGGCTTTAAGTACGTACCAAGACACCAACTTACAAAGAACCAATAACTACTAAGTGTTGCTAAGGTGGAGGAACAGATCAGTGGGTCATCACCAAATCAATAGGTGACCCAACAAATATGATTGTTGAATTTCTATTAATATATACATTAGGCAATTACACTATCACTTACGTTTTTTATATTTTCAAACTAGTGTTACTGAATATATATACGAATGAGTTATATAGAAATGTAAATAGATTGAAAATATAAAAAACGTAAGTGATAGTGTAATTGTCTAATGTATATATTAATAGAAATTCAACAATCATATTAAATTCAATAAATAAAAGAATATTGGGTTCATCGGGTTGGGTTGAGCTCAAATAATAATAACCTAATATCAGTTCAATACTTATGGTTTGAAAATTTGACAACTCGATTGACATCGGGTTGCTTCAGGTTGAGTTATTTCGCGTTGGGTTGATCGAGTTTTAAGCACCCCTAGTATTGATGGTTGTAACCATTTTCATCAGTAATCTTGCTGCTTGTTTTATCTTCCATTTTGTTTACATTTTCGTCCCTCCATCCAAGTCAGTAAGGTAGCGTTTAGTATACAGACATGATTGAACAGAATAAGAGGGTAAGACTGGACGAAGCAGGACTAGACATAACAAGTGTCTATCTGGTGTTTGATACAACGAGGATTTAACATAACAGAACTAAACAAGTTGCCCCCAAAATTATTTTATGATATATATATATATATATCTATATATATCATATAATAGTTATTTTATGATCGTGGTTGTGGAGGTGGTGAAGGTGGCTGACGGTGGCTATTGGTGGTGGCGGCGGCCTCAACTAGCATCGGTGACCACGAAAACAAATATCATGTTAAAGTCATATATCAAACGAGAGTTAATTAATAATATTTTAGTTTGGATCTCATTTTTGTCACATCTTATTCCACCTATTTTAATGGAACAAGAAAAAAAAAATTGTCCCACATTATCCAGCAGCTCTTGTCTCTGTTTTATGTCGGGCCAAACTTGGGATAGTAAGGTCTTGTCCTATCCCATATCGCGCCAACTTGGCTATTCGGTTTTTTGTACGTCTATTTTGCTTCAAATCAAGAGATTTATGGGTTTTCTTTTTCTAGGTTTCAATTTGCATCTATATTGGATATAGGGTTAATTAGGTTTTGATTTTAGGGTTCTAGATTTGATTTAGGGGCCGTTTACCTAAATGCTGAAGTGAACACTGTAATTTATTTTACCGAGTAAGATTATAGTACATTAAAATAATATTGTATGCAACAATTTACCCGGTAAGCACTTACCTGGGTAAGAGTCAGGCACCCTCACTTACCGAGTAAGACTCTCTATCTTTATCATTGCTCTTACCGGGTAAGATTTTTGACCCTTGTTATGTTCATCAGATAAGAAAATTTACCCGGTAAACACTTACCAAATAAGAGTTTAGTAAACGACCCCTTAGTTTTGTATTACTATTTTTTAGAATCAATGTATAGAAATTCGTTTTTATGTTAGATTTAGGGTTCTTGATCTTATTTATGTTGATGATGATGTACATGATTTATCTTCAAAGCTAATAAGTTGGTACTGTTAAATAAGAGATGAATAACTTATTAAAAACTTCTTTATCACCGGTTTAGCACCGGTACAAGCCCATTTTTTCCATAAAAAAAATTAAGAAAATGTTTATTATCAGTACCATACCGGAATAAGTCAATATCTATACTTTATTATAATTTTCAGTGTTTTTTCCTTTTCTAGGGACGATTGCGTATGTTGACTAGGGGGTGTTTGAGATTGCTTATAAAAATAACTTATTGACTTATTCCGGTGTGGTTCGATAATTAAACACTTTTAAGTGTTTGGATAAAACAACTTATACCGGTGCCAGTCTGATAATAAGAAATCTTTGAAGAAATTAATTCATTATAACTTATAATAGATCGATAAAATAAATTATTTCATATAAGCAATTTCAAATATGCAATTTCCAAACCCCTTGTAATATAAATATAGTATGTTTAGTTTTCGCTTTTATATATGTACGTATGTAGTGTTTGTATATATATGGGGGCCTTTTTTTTGGTTTTCTGCCCCGATCATCAAAAAAAACCTCAGGAACGACCCTGTCAATGGCGTTGGATTATACTTTGAAGTTCTCTGATGCTGCCAAAAGTTCACCTCCTTGTCGTTCTCACTTCCAAAAATCAGTAAGTTTCTTGTTTTCATACCCTCGTTTCGTGAATTCAGTTCCTCGCATCATTCATAGATGCTTTTTCCCTTTGAAACAGGTTCACTTACGAGACTGGTGGCTAACTAAACCCAAACCAGATGATGACAGAAAGACACTAGGCGTTGCAGGCCTTACGTGCATTTCCCAACAGTGCGTGCTTTCTATACCTATGGGTTTTGTTCTTTATTTAGTACTTCAGTAGTTGCTTTGTTATCATTCTGACGCTTATTGGACCTTGTGTTACCACTATGAAAGCGCAAGAGTCGAGGGGTTAAGATTTTGCATTAGCCAATTTGACACATTTGGATGATGTAAACAGTTTTCTATAAATTGTTTTTTGTTTCTCTACTGGTTGTCAAATTTACATGTAATTTGTGCATCGATATGATTGTTGATGAGACTATAGGAATCGGGCCGAGCGATGCTTTTCTTCTGCACCGATTCTCAAGGTATACGATTTCTTTGAATTAGAGACGGTTGACGGTCTATGTGTGATTCTGCAAGGATACATTAACAAAAATCGAACGCTTGGAAATGGATTTCGCTCTGAGGTAAGTAAAAGAATCTTGACTACCTCATGTTCTTTGAGTATCTTATTTTCTATAGTTTTTTACGTGTATAATATTTTATATATGGAAAAACTCACACACACACTTCTTATCATTGGCATAAACCCTTAGAGGGTGGGCTCTACGGGTAGCCGGGTACCTTTGGGCCACAATGACCCTTTGGTTCATTATCAGTATTTAATAGAGGTAGTAGCTTTATTACATTTAGCTATCATTTGTTGTGTCTTAGCGTGGTGTTGCCATCGTTCATAATTTGGGTCAGAAGTATAAGTTGTGATAGAGAGTTGTTTAAGGATATGCATATCCTTTGAAGAGCAATGTAATTTTCTCATCGCTATGATAGATGGGGACTGAAACATTAGTTTTTGAAAATATGTGTGTTTGTAAAAGGAGCTTCAGTTTTAAAGCAGTTTGTCCTTGTTAATCTGCCTTCATTTGAGGTTTTTTTTTTCCTGAAGAATGGTCTTTGATATTCACAAAAGAACTATTGATATTTGCTACCTTTCAAGGTTAATTTTTTGGATATAAGTTTAGTTGCTTGGTGAAAGAACTATATGTATGAGCAGCTGTTGATCAACTGTCAGTTCAAGTGCATTTTATATTAAATCTATGGCAAAAAGGACATGTGGTCTGGTGAATTTCAACTTTTAGTTGTACAAGGGGTTTATCATGTAGAGTGAGAACATATGTATATCTCACTTGAGAAAAAAGGAAACATTTATAGGCTCGAGGTTTCATTTTAGTAAAAGAAAAGCTATGTATGTTAGAAGTAAGGAGAAAAATAGTAACAAGACAAATTCAAAAGATCTGCATCATTTATTCAAATGGTGGCTGGCTACATGAATCAATTGTGTAGTCGTCTGTTGCTAATGCATTGGGTTACATTAATATGACATGGAAGACATGGTAAGTTTAACCAAAGAGAATCTAAACCTATTGATATTGGAAGACCCAACGATTCTTCCAATGTATCATTTCTGGGTCCAATGGAATGGATAACAAGAGAGCTTGACAATTGAGAATCGGTTTAGCTCGATTCCTTCTCCATGGCATAGATCATTTTAGCCAAATCGACTAGGACATTACTTTATCCTTTTATATGAGTTGCTTTTAATATTATATATCTTTACACTTACAGGTATTTGATCATTTTCTTATTGGTTTCCCCCCTTATTGGGAGGAATTTTGTACAAGATGGCCCAAAAGAGTATCTGCTGCCCAAGGTATGTCAAGAGGTAAATACTAATCCTGACAAGTAGTCATTCAATGAAAACCCCAATGGGTTGTCCTAGTGGGTGAGACATGGAACATTTGGCGAATAGGTTGGTTTGAATACCATTGGTGCTATAAAGTACATGATGGCCATGCTCTGTTGGCCAAAAGGCCTACATTGCAACTGTTTTATGTGGAGGGGGCGCTTTGCTTGGATCCCGTGGAGTAGTTGGACCAAAGGTCCATTTATCACAGTTATTTAGAAGAAAAAGTAGTTTTATTGAAGATAGAAAGTAAATGTTTATTGTACAGAAACATAAAATTCTATAACTCTGGAACATACATTCTCACTTTCTCCATGTGCTGACATCTTCAGTAAATAAGGATGGGGAAGACTCCATTGAAGGACATGACGACTTTCATGATAGCTCCCAAGGTAAATTATTGAATCGTGATAGCCACACTGTGGATATGGGAGTTGAAGATTGTGAAGAAACAATTTTGAGCAATAAGGCCAGTAACTTCATGAATGCATCATCGCTTGAAATTCCACATGTATGCTTTCCTCGTTATGCATCTAATACTTTGGTGATACTCTTGAAGTATTTAACTTGCAAAACAATGTAAAGCCTGAATTTTCAATGCAATACCTTTTCATACTCTGCCTGAGCATATTGTATATTTGTATAAAACAACAATCAAGCATGTTTCAGTCACAATTTTTAAAGCATACTAGGTCATTTTAACTGTTGCATTAAGCTTTCATTTGCATTAGTTGCATGCCTAGAGGTTTATGTAAACAGACTCGTGATAGGTAGGTTGAATGGGATGGATTATGGTTGACATGCCCTAAAGTATCTTAGTTGACATTTAGAACTCGTTTGAAAGATTGAGAGAAAACTGAAATGTCCAATTTAACTCGAATTAATACTTGTGCTTGGCCAAATCAACCCTTTGACCTTTTCTTTATTCATATTTATCACCTAAAGTGATTTATTTATTATAACACTGCTGCCTATAGACATCTTGAAAGGATTGCAAAAGGATTAAAATGTCTAGACTGTTTTGGAAAGGTTTCAGGGAGAAGCTTGGTTTAGAAGACTGCTAACCATGCCCACTAAGCTATACTTCCAATTTATATTTTATGAGTTGGTATTGCTTAATTTATGCAAAAATACACTATAATGGAAAACATATGACCTATTGAGCTTTGAAACTTGTATACTCATAACTTCTTCCAGTTCTTGGAATTTGATAAATTCATATCATAGCTTATTCTTCTTACCGATGTTATAATTATTGATCTTCATTAAGCTATAGGCAAAGCCAAGCAAAGCATATACATGTTCAGCAGACCCCTCAACCCAATAAAACCTTGAAAAGTCTTCTGAGTCTTATTTTCTCTTTTGAAAGATCAGTCATTGTGGTTTGTTGTACAGGAGCATATAATAAAAGCTGGTTTGTCGTACAGGAGCATATAATAAAAGCTGGGCATGAAGTTTTATGTGATAGATCTTCTTTGACATTGGAGTTTGATGATGATCCAAGTCTCAAGATGAGTTCTGGTAACAATGATATTCACTGTATGAAGCATGACGATGTGAGAGACTATCCTTCGTCAAAGAATTTCAAAATTGATGCCGAGGACTCGTATACAGTTTTGAAGTGTTTATGGGTCTCTAGTAGGCGTGTGACCAGATCTATGACAAAGATGGATAACAGTAAAAATCGTTCAACACATGGATCTGTACTAGATGATATAATCAATTTGGACCAATCAACTGATTTTGATCCTGGTAATTTGGGAAGTTCTGACATTCCAAGGAAGGATATTAACAATTCCTTATCTAATAACAAGGCTGTAAATGTTGTAGATTGTGATGGAACAAACTTTCTGCATCATGGTGCTTCAAGTTCTATTAAGACTGCTGCTGAAAAATTGGAATTGTTGAACTTGAGAAGTTATCAGAAAGGAAATTCCTCTTCTGGTTGTGGTGTGAAGTGCGAAAGCAGGAAGAATATTTCAACGTCTGAGGGAAATCTAGATGAGCAGAATTTGAAGAAAATTTCTTCAAATCTTTCTTTTATATACGAAAATGGGTCAAATGAAGCTTCAACTTGCTCTAGTGACATGGTCTCAAGGATTAAATCAAAACGAAAACAGAATGTCCAATATGTTGGTGATGTTACCGAGGATCTGAGAATCAAATTAGCTTCTCAAGTTGGTACTTCTAATCTGAGGAAAAATATTGATGCTGATGTAATCAGTGAATCACAGATTGCCACAAGAAGTGATTTAGAGGCAAAACACTTCAAAGCCAAGCGTTCAAATCCTTTGGATCCATTAAGTACCACAAGCATGGATGTTGGATGCCTAGTAAATTGTTCCACTGAGAATTTCAACTTTGCTTCAAGCAATATAGATCTAGATGACAACATAGTCATTTCAAGAACAAACATGAAAGCTTGTCGAAATAAGAAGAAAGACGCAGCACGTGAAGTCACCGGTATGATTGATGTCTCAGACAATAGAGGTGCCTTTAAGGCTGGAGCTGCAAAGCAAGGAATTGTGTTCAAAGAAGCAAGCATGACAAGATCTAAATCAGGAAGGCAATGCATAACAAGTCCTAAATCAGCTAAATCTACCTCAAGGCTTGATCTCAAACACCCAACAAGGACATCAGCTGGGAAGGTAATATTTTCTATTACAATGCAAGAATCTAGTAACAATAAAATAATTGGATGGATGCTCCAAGTTCTATTTGTGAGAATGACTGAGTTACTTCAACGAGTATGATTGTGTGTTAGTGTCAAATGTCAATTGAAGGGTTTGAAAACGTGCTCTCATCATTAATCAAGGTGGGCCTTGACACACATGACCTTTGTATAATTCTTTATCTCTATGATATTGTCTTACCATTTTGTTTATGCAGACATTCAACATGCCAAACATCTTATTCGTCTGTTGGACGTTCTTGTATTATAATAACTCTATACGGGGGCGATAAATTTGTTTTTGTGGGGCCAACGGTTTGATACAAGTACTGAGGGCATTTCTTGCTCAAACATCTATAAACTTAAACAAGTAGTTGTTTCATGACTGGCCTCTTGGTATACTAGCAAAGCCATTACGTTGGAAGTGCATCTATACTCTTTAAACTCGTTCAAGTAGGCTTTCTTTCTTTTTCAAACCATAATGTACTAATCCTTATCCTGTATCTCTTCTTCTCCACACTAGTCTATTGCAGTGACCGTGTCTTACATGTTTTGTGGTGCCAAAAGAAGTTTTGGGACTATGTTTTGTGCGATTTTGAAGAAAGATTACATTTAATGGTTTGTGTGTGGTAAAGGTCTATATTTCCTAGATTATGCAACCCATATTATGGGTTTGAATATAATTCTATATGTTTGATAAGAGGTGCACGATGTGGTTGCAACAAGCTTTGAGATCTTTATAACATTTCAAAATATTATACTTGTATTTTAGGAAAGAACAATTTTCTTTCAGCTGTCATGATTCTTTTCTGAGTTTGCATCCTTGGTATCATCTTCATACTAGATTGTGAGAATTTATGTTTCTTTGTCCCATTTCCGACTGTTCATTCTTTCATTGGGTTAATTTGGCAAGCTCGTGGCTGCTAATTCAACAATGTTAGTATCCATAACTGAGAATATATAACCTTTAAATGCCAAAGGATGAAATTTAGATTCAAGGCATGACTAGAAGGATGTAATTCTAATTGCTATTTGTTTTGAATTTCAAAGCGTTTTTGTAGTGTATAATGTTGTTTGGCTTACAGCTGTGTGCTTTATATACTTCTTTCTTTTGGATTAATAGAACATTATTGCATAGGGCTTCAAGGATAGATATGGAAGTGCAAACATTTTGTCTCCAGAATCTTTCAGTGGCAAAAAATCTAGATCAGGTCAGAGATAGTCTTTGAAGCACCTTGTTTTAGTCTTTTGGTGCCACATAAATCATACACACTTGGATTCCTACAACTTCAGATAACTTTTTGAATTATACGTTTTGTTTTAATCTCACCTAACATCTTTAATGTTATGCAGGAAGAGTGCTTCTGCCTGCCTTGGAATTCTGGCGCAACCAGACGGTGGTTTATGATGCGGTTTGTAACACTTTTAGGTTTACTTACCCATTTAAGAAATTTTGGGTTAAATATGAATATGTTTTAGTATTTATGTTGTCTAGGATTTCTGCATGTTTATGTTTCTAGGTCCATGGTTTTCATTTAGGTTTTCTTTCGGTAAAAGATATTCCCAAATCCTAAACGTTGACATGATATTGTCCAACTGCTTCTTAGCAATAGCGGAGTCACCACCTTATCTCACCATCAATAAATGGTGACTAGTCCTTAGGGTGTCCCTGCCCTTTTTCTTCTTCGTTCTCCATTACCTTCAGTTAGCAGAGATAGGGCCTTATGTTTCAATCGATTCTTGTTCAGCTTTTGTTGTGTCAACATCAATGACTAGAAACACCATTTAGGCCTCACAGCCCTAGAACTAACATTTTTCTTGCATCCAGGAACTATTGTTATTAGCTCTGCGCTGTAGGGGCTACCCATTTCCATCTCTTCCATCTTCTGTACTGTAATCCTATTTTGACATGTGTCCAGGCTTGATGTGGAGTCTTTTGGAAGTCTTCCGGTGTTGCAACTTTATTGAAGTTTAGTGATTATTTGCATATTTCACAAGAAGTGCATGCAATTTTGTGAACCTTAGAAAGTTCATAGGGTGTTTTGCAAATGTAGGAAGTCAAGGGTTGATTTTTCAAATTTTGCAGAGTCCAAAGTTACATATAGTCCAAGGGCCCATTATTGTTCATAGAAGTTTCAGGGATAGTTCTGCAGAATCTTAAACTTTAGCGTCTATTTTGCAATATTTTAGAAGCTCAAGGAGAACTTGCAAAATGAAAAATCTCAGGGGCTATTTTGCAAGTTTGGGTCTCTCGACCATTTGCCTTATGTCAAATTTCTTGTTCATAAAATTTCAGGGAGAATTCTTCAAAATCTGAAATTTCGGAGTTTCTTTGCCATCTTTTTGAAGCTCAAAGAGTCTGCAAAAAATGAGAAATTTTAAGGGGCTATTTTGCGATGTTTTGCAAGTTTGGATCTAATTGTCATATTTCTTACTTTAGGAGGTTTTCTATAATCTTGTTCTAGTTGGGGTCTAAACAAGTGTAGTTGCACTAATAGTCCTCTAGGTACTTGTGCTCCTGTCATGCCTCTACATGTGCAACTCAGGTCAGGAACTGATTAAGCTTATCTAGATTCCAATTTCCTCTTAGGTGCAATCTATCACAATTGTTCTGTATTTGCACCATACTTATCTGTTTTGGTTATCCGTAATCAACCTTGAGATTCAGTGTCACTACCGCAAGAAATGAGCTTGTAACAATAACTTCTCTAATGGTCCTTGAGTGTCAGCTTTATTCATATAGGACTTGATGGAAAACCAACCAAACAGCCTCATAGCTTACTATATGCTCCAAAGGCTTGTATCAGAGGCTTTAGCTGGTTTTGTAGCAAAAACATGCATTTAATTCTCTCACATAAATATATACCTTGGTAATTTGCAAAAGTACTACAAATTATTCATTTCCAATTTGATGCTCATTTCCTCTCAAAGTTACTGAGGCGGATGCTTTATTTTTTATTTTATTTTATTTTTTCTTTTTACTTTCAGGACCGACAAGTTACTGGAGTCCTGGAAGGAACCTATATCACACAATCATCAAGAGGTATTTTGCTTTAGTTATCATGATATACATGTATTATGATTAAGGAAACTGCATTGTAGATTTGTGGTGGTACCTTAGTCTATAAATGTAGATGCGGATGCAGTGCTTTAAAGGAGGGGGGAAGGGACCCCAGTCAAAAACTCAAAAACAAAAATTCATAGGTTAAAATTTAGGTTTTACATGATTTATCTTTCACTTCCCCCCATTACATTTTTCCATGGGCCCCCAACCCTAATCAAAACTGTTACTCTAACAAAAAAAATCTGTTGAAATCAATCAAAAAAACCAAAAAAATTATTCGGAATCGACAAAAACACTAAAAAAATTCTTCGAAATCAACCAAAAAACTTTAAAATTCCCTCAAAAACGTTGTAATTAGGTTAAAAACACATCGGACGATTTTGCGGGTTTTTAGTCTACCTTAAAGGTGACCCCACTGAACAAAAATCCTGGATCCGCCATGGGCTTCCAGTTATTTCTATGGTCCTTGGGAACTGCACATGATGATGATTGAAAATCTTGATAACATTATTCATAAATCTAACTATACACATAAGCATGTTGTGACAAGCAGAATTATGCAAAAGTTTTGATGAGTGCATTTCCATAGTACTACTTTAACACAATCCTTATTATGTTATTGTTCTTTAATTTATGATCTTGATCAATTTTTATGTTTATTTGTAAAGTAGATATTTCCGAAGATAACAAGGAATTTAATAAGAAACCTAGAAAAACATGCAAACCATGAATGTTCGCAGTTATCAGCATTTGCACATTTTCATAGGTGAATGTGCCAGGTATGATTCTGCTTCTTCTTCTTCTTCTTCTTCAATAGTATGCATCCTCTGTTATCATGATATAGTGGGATTCAATGTTGTGAGAATGAAATTTTGATGATAGAATGGTTTTGCATAGAGCTGCTCACAGACCTGACGACCCAGTAGACTTGGCCTGTCCGGCCTGCTAGAAAAATGGGTTTAGACAACCATTCTTGAAAAATGGGTTGGTATGGCAATTTAATTTTTTTTGAGCAAGGCCCACCTGGCCTGTTTATATTTTATAATTAATTAAATTTTATAATTGATATTTAAGAATTTCTTTTATAGAAAATATATGTAGACGTGGGTGGGCTCCCCTTAAATAATGATGGCCTCTCACTTTCCATTTCCCATAAACCTAAAATGAGTAATTTCGCTCAAAGATTCTCGACTCTCCCGACTCCCACTCCCAAAATTTGCAGTAAGTTCCCAAGTAATTTAGAAGTCCATTCTCACATTTATATATAGCCTACCTCACCTAGTTTGTAATAAAAAGCTTGTTGACTTTGATTTTCACATTTTGATATAAGATATGTGGTGCAAGTTTGAGATATAATTTTAGATCATGAGTTCTAGGATGTGCACATTTTCCCCACTCATACAGTAGACATGCCTTATTCCATTCTGATACTTTTCTCACATCTGAATAGGATTTCTATTGCTTGAAAGAAATTTCAGGGACTACAAGTGTAAAAGTCCAAAGACTTCAAGAATGGCTACCTGGGGAAAATGTGTCTTTGTTTGTAGCAAGTATTCCACTAATTTGTACAAGGCTTAAAAAATGTTATACAAGTTAAGAAAACATAGGGATGTATAGGAAAGACACAAAAACTAAACATTCTATTGTCTATCTTAAGGCTCTAGGCATAGTTGTTAAAAGCGCGCCTGAGGCGTGCCTAGGCTCTGAGGCTCATAAGGCTCAAGGTCTTGGGCTTTTATAAAGCCAAGGCTAGGTGTATTCACGAGGCTCACTAAGGCCATGCGCCTTGTGGGCCTAGGCGCGCCTCATAAAGAGTTATTAAATACCATGTCAAACCCGAATATTAAATAAGTTTTCTCATCTTCTAGACTTCTTAAGAAATGAGTTACTAGATAGATGATATAAGTCAAACCCTAATGCCCAGACCTTAAAATTTTTACCTCCTGGCTTGCGCTTTAAACCCTTCTCCCTTCTGCCTCTATTGAAATACTGTTGGTTGTTGCATTGGACTACTTGCTACATATTTGAGTTGTGTATAACTGTTTATGTGTGTATATATGTATACACATTTTTTTATAAGATGTGCCTCACATTCCTGAGGCCCGCACCTCGTGCCTAGGCCAAGGGACCCCTTTGCGCCTAAGTGCGCCTTGAGCCTTTAACAACTTTGCTCTAGGCTCTGTTAACCTATTTGTCGCCTCTCCAATCCTTCTCCAGATTCACCCTCTACCTCTCTAATCTCTCTTCCTTTCATCAACATTAGATACATGTCCATAGTCAGCTATGCTAGTACTCGTCTCCAAGAACGAATATCACAAGTCATGTTCTCCCTCCGCTGCTCATCCCAGATCCTTGGCGTCTGGCTAAGCTTCTCAAATCTTTTTCGCAAGTCAGGGGACTTGCTGGGAATAGCTTCCGTACCCGTTGAGGTAGAGGAAAAGTCTGTATATATCATAGCCCCTCACACCCTACTTTCAGGTGGGATATACTGGGTTTGTTTGGTTTGGTTTTTTACAGGTTTACATCCCCGAAGTTGTTAAAGGCTCAAGGCGCACTTAGGCGCAACGGGGTCCCGGGCCTAGGCGCGAGGAGCAGGCATGAGGCATGGGTCTTAGGAATGTGAGGCGCAACTTATCGGTATACACACACACACACACTCACACAGTTACACATAACAAGTCTTCAATGCAACAACCAATAGTATTTCGATAGAGGCAGAAGGGTTTAAAGTGTGAGCCTTGAAGGAGAAGTTTTAAGGTCTGGCTATTTATAGAGGAGGCTTGACGTTCTAAGGACTTGGTACTTAATATTAAGGTTTGACTTGTGTCATCTCTTTAATTACACTTCTTTTAAGAACTCTAGGAGATGAGAAGATGAGAAAACTTATTTAATCTTAGGGTTTTACTAGGTATTTAGTAACTCTTTATGAGGCGCACCTAGGCCCATAAGGCGCCTCAACCAAGTCGCAGTGCCTTCATGAGCCTCGTGAATACGCAGAGCCTTGACTTGAAAAAAGCCCAAGACCTTGAGCCTTACGAGCCTCAGAGCCTAGGCGCGCCTCAAGCGCCGCTTTTAACAACTATGTACATCCCTGTATTTGATAATTAGGTTTTGATTCTTTATGGGCTATCGATCATCTACGATGTATGAAATTTGATATTGTATCCTTTCATATTCCTATTTTTGTAAACGATCCTAATTGTTTCAACTTAATATACTCTGATTTCTTTTTTCTGTTTCTTGAAGTAGGTTTTGTTTAATTGCATCATATTCTGATGCAACTCTTCATAGGACTTCATGGAGAACCTAAATCAATGTTTTTCATTTGGACGTGTACATAGGGGTGCTCAAAAACCCGACCAGCCCGATCAACCCAACCCAACACAAAATAACTCAACCTGAAGCAACCTGATGTCTAATCGAGTTGTAAAATTGTCAAACCGTAGGTATTGGGTTGATATTGGGTTACTATTATTTGAACCCAACCCAACCTGATGAACCCTATATCCTTTTATTTCTTGGATTTAATATGATTGTTGAATTTCTATTAATATGTACATTAGACAATTACACTATCATGTATGCTCTTCACATATACATATATTTTCAATCCACTCACATCTTTATATAACTCATTCGTATATATGTTCAGTAACTGTGAATATATACATGTAAATTGAGAAAATTAACTGAATGTGATATACGTAAGAAGTATGGATAAGTTGTATCAAGTGGTTGATGATGAAAAAGAAATTATGAGTAGTGAAATAACACATTCTAGGTTAGAAGAATATTTTAATGTATCAAAGTATCAACCTGACCAACCCATACGGGTTGGGTTGGGTTAAGATGTTTCAAACCGCAAGCATTGGGTTGTGTTGTTTAAATGTCTTCAACCCGATCAACCCAACCCATGAGCACGGGTGCGTGTAAATGCTACTAGAGTAGAGTTTCCATTTCTTTCTATCTCAGTGTGTCTTGTAATGGACCATACTGAGGGTGAGTTATTAGGTTGAGGTTTCAGCCCCAATAAAATACAGTTCTTCAAAAGAAAACTAGATGACCACGTATTTTTACATCTAAGTTGTCTTGCTAAATGAAGTTTTCTTTCGCTATCAAATAAGGAGTGACAACACCCTTTTTATATGGAAAAGTACATATACACGTCTCTTGTGAGACTTGAACCTAGATGCTTTAGGTTAGTAGGCTAAAACTAGAGAGCACTGGGTACTGCTGTCGGCTAAGCCAAGGGTCGTTTTTTACTACAGTACTTACATTGCAAAATAATTTAAATAGCAAACATAAGCGTCACCAAGCGAGGCCTGAACTAAAATCAAGCTTGTTGAGAACTGCAAATCCAATCTCGAACGTGTCGTGACCCTTGGACTTTCTGAAATTTCTGGATGATTCTTGAATTTTATGATCTCTATAACATTAGAAAACTTGTTAACAAGATAACTTATACAAATTATCAGTCATGCCATTTACTAGGCATTTTGTTTCTGAAAACCGACATTTCCTGTTGGTTTATCTAATGACCCAATCTATGTTTGTGCAGTGCTTGCTGGAAAAAATCTACTATAGTCATGACTTGGCTTGTTTTAGTAAGTTTCATATGTAGAAATATCAGACATTCTAGCAGGGTTATTCAAGTACTTTTCTGCATTTTATTTTTGCTTTTCAGCGAACATGGTGATACAATTGTCTTACTATATATAGTAAATAGTATACCTTCCATGCATTTTTCTATTTTTAAAATGATCCATAGTCTAGTCAACTCTGTTTTTTCATTTGATGGCAGAGATTCAATACCTATCTGATATATGCAAAGCAGAAAAACTATATTGAAGGTCTTTACTGGGTGAAGATATATCAGCTGGTGTTTGCTAGTGTCAGTATATATATATATATATATATATATATACACACACACACACATACATAATATGCAGATGTGGATACACTTGTGATATTGTGTTTCACCAGTGCATAATTCAATGATGTTGCTTGATTACTTGTACTTGGACAGGGGCAGAAAGCGGATGATTTCGACGAGGCCCTCCCCTTTAACCCGAACAGCCAGATTAATTACAGGTCATCCCCTACCTCCGGATCCATGACTATATAAGCTATTCTTAAGAGATTTAATATAGATGAAATCGTCAGAAGCTTCTTGAGTTCTGGTCTAACTTTCTGGTTCTTAGGCCTAATAAAGAACGGACTATAGAGCATTTTTTATGCCTTTTTAAGTTTTGAGCAATGGGTTTCTTTCAAAATCCGTCTTGTTGGTAGGGGTCGTGATGAAAGCCTCGAGTGTACCACAAAAGTATATCTTTTGTTCATTGACTTGTATCTGTGGGTAAGTAGAGAATACCTGACATTAGGGGTGCTCACGGCTCGGGTTGATCGGTTTGGAGCCGTTTTAACAACCCAACCCAATGTTGGCAGTTTGAAAATTTTCAACCCAACCCAACCCAAACAAAAGTTCAACCCAACCCAACCCGTTCGGGTTGATCGGGTTGTGTTTAAACAATGTAAAATCACATAAAAATAAAGGAAACTTTTCTTTGAAATACGACCGACCATTCAAGATAATATGCAAGTTCATCAAATATTTAGATATTACAATAAAAATGTTTAAACCAAATGATAATATATCAATCAACAACAATAGTTTTAGACGTTTCCAACCCCGATGCTTTCGCTTTCTTGACGTTGAGGTTGGTCATGTCATGATTGTCATCTACAATTCAAAGCTAAAGTTAAGGTCGGGTCCATCGGGTTGGTCGGGTTTTTTTGGGCCTGACCCGATTCCAACCCAATAAGGTCGGGTTGGTTAATTTTTCTATCGATCATGCATCGGGTTACCTCGGGTTGGTTAATTTTTCTATCGATCATGCATCGGGTTACCTCGGGTTGGTTTTTTTTTTTTAATTCGGGTTGGGTTGGTCGGGTTCATCGGGTTTTTGAGCACCCCTACCTGACATGATCGTTCAACTTAGTAATAGCTCTTTGATGACCTCTTCCTTGGAGATGTTATGACTAATAATTTTGCTCTAACAAAAGTGTTGTCATTACCATCTATATCGAGGTCAAGGTAGTAGTAGTTAGTAGGTTATGAAGTAATCGTTGGCTGTTCCCTATTCCGTTAACTCCGAAATCTCCGAAAGATTGTGATTAGTCCATTAAATCCTTAGTGAAATCTCCAATTCTTCCTGTGGCTATTGATGGTGAATCCCCTTTTATTTTCCTCACAAGAGATGTGATTAGGCTTTTCTCATGAATATTGGAGATCATGCAAAGGAGTTTCATCCCTATCTACAAGGTTATGACTTTGTATCAACTAGGTATGCTTATAGATGAAGAAAATGGAGATTTTATACCAGTTTTATGCTCCAACAGGTTCCTTAAAACTATCTCGAAAATGGAGAAAGTGGTCAACTTTACAACGATCTCATGGGTTTGACCGCCACCACCACCGACTTTGATGGTTAGGGAAAGATTTGGTTTCGTTTCTTAGAAGACAACCATTGATCAACACATGGGTCTCGGCACCTGACTCATCTCGAGTTCATCACAGTAATACCCAAGGTCCCGGAGTCTGACTCAACAAGAGATCATATCCGCAATACCCATGATCTCGAGTACAAATCACACGGGTTCCTCTTCGCAATACCGGCTATGGTCCCGAAGTCCAACCCACACGGGTTTCTCTCTGTTATACCAGCTACTCAAATAACAAACCGACTTACTCACATGCCTATGGATCCAATGCATTATAATCCGAAAATTATACGACTCCGATAGAATGATTAACACACTTCGAGCATATAATGTCTATCAAATATGCAATAAATGTATTATACGTCTAAAGCTCCACATTGAGTTATTAAAATCGGGTGAAGGTCCCCAAAACTCTTTTGAGTTAAAACCATGGCAAAAAGCATCGTAAGACAATTGACTATTTTAAATAAAAGCCAATGTAAACCATACAGGGCAGAAAAACATATTTTCTGAATATTTAAAACATTCATGACACCCATAATATGGACGAGTCCATAAACCATCTACTTTATTCAAGCATGGAAGAAATAAGTTTAAAACCAAATCGTTTATATTCTCAAGGTTCTTACAAAGCCAATAATAGCCGTATATCAAGATTTGGGAACAATTGCGGCTGTTAAAATTCATAAGTTGGATAAATCCTAAACATAACACTTTCCAGAAATCAAAACCATATATTGCTCCAAAGTTATCCAAATATTCAAGAAACTTGTAAACACTCTTCGAAGGTTTATGTTTCAAAATAACCAAATAAAGCAATATTAACAGAAGGAAGAGGGTCCCTAGGTAAAATGTTACTTTTAATAGGTTGGTAAACATCATCCAATCCAATAAGAAACTGCATGAGTTTAATCAGTTGACTATGTACCAAAAAATCGTGGGAAGCCTTGCAAGTACAGGATGAGAGTTTTACAAGAGCATCAAACTGTTTCCAAAGAGAATTTAGCTTATGATCATATTCAGAAACGGAGGTGCCGTTTTGACATAAGGAGTTAATTTTCTGGTAAATATGAATGTGACAAATCCATCTGTTTTATCATACGTTTCTTTTAATTCTTCCCGAACTTGGGAAGATTCTTTTGAAAAAACTTGTCCTAGAAAAAGGTCCTCAGTCATGGAAGTCATGATCCATGAGAGAACAACATAATTACATCGATCTCATTGTCCTAAGACAGGATCTATAAAAGGAGGACAAGACCCATCAATAAAACCAGTTTTATTTTTAGTTTTCAAGGCTAAAATCATGGCACATGACCAAACTCAGTAATTATCCCCCCACTTAACTTGAACGATAAAAGAGAAGCTCCACTAGTGTTGTTGGGATGCAAGTGCAGTGGATCTCCAAAGTCTAATTTTGTGACTTTGGATTCCATTGGACTTTCAGCTTCAGCTGATGGAGATGGAGGGAGAAGGAGAAGGAGAATCCCAAGAAGTGAGGCACAGTCCTTCTTATTTGAACAACTTGTCTTTTCAATATCATCACTTTCTACCCCTATTTGTTAAATATTCTATCAAAATAAGGACAACAGGTTAAGTTAGTCAAGATTGCAAACAGTGATATATTTTAACAGAATCTCCATCTTCGGCATCTTTGATCATCCGTGAAACCCTCCACACCCACTTTTCCGACTCTGTGTGTGTGTGTGTTTGTTCTATGTGTCTCTGTGTGTGATGGCGTGGTGGTGGTGTTGATGGTTGGCGATGGTTTACGAAGGCGATTGTCAACGGGGGAGGTCACTAGTGGGATGGGGGAGGTTCATGTTGAAACAGGAAATAGAGGAGTAAAACATTAGGGATGACGTCCCTGTGATCGTAGGGGGGGGGGGGTGTGTATATATATATAGACTTTGGATCACGTGACACCAACATGTTTTTGTGAGACTCGTGAGATCACTTTTTTACACATGAAACTTCACAGCAAAACACTGTGAAAGTCACTTTCATAGTGTTTTTGCTATGAATGTTCGTATTTTTTTTACCTCACACTGTTTTGTTGTAAATTTTCAAGTGTAAAAAATGTTCTCATGGGTCTTACGAAAACAGTTTGCTCTCACGTGAATCCAAGCATATATATATGTGTGTGTCTGTGACGAAGGATCGTGTGAGAATAGAAGTTAAGATGAGATCAATAAAAATGAATCTAGACTCTTGATCACTTTTAATCTCACCCCTAATTTATGAATGTTTGATAGGAGAATTGATACGATGCATCTTGGTACATGTCATTATTGTAGATCTTATATATATATATATATATATATATATATATATATATATATATATAGGGGCCTAATCAAATGAGAACTAATTAG